ATTCAAGTTTTGTAATAGCTCCTGATTTGCCTCTTCTGCCTTTACACATATTTTTATTTTGATCTTCTCGACTCTCTTTGACTGTTTTTTGTTACTTTCACCAAAGTTCTCTAATCCTTTTCACCTTTTATATTTCCTTGATGCTCCTTTCAGTTTTTATCACTGCTTTAGCATCTTCTTTACCCTTCTGCCCTTTGTTTTTCTTTGAAGAAATTTACTACTTTGTGTTCCCTTCACGTGGCTTTACTTTCCTTAGCTACACTGCTCCCATGTGCCATTTTTAGCAGTGCTAGCCTTGAGGAAAGGAAACTCTCTATTCATTAAGAGGCAAATAATGGTGGAAGGAAACGTGTGCAAGGGTACATGAAATTGTGCTTAATGCTTTTCCCTGAAGATTCTGGAGAAGATCAGACAGGTTGGTGAGAGACATCAGGGAAGTATAGAACAGGGCATTGGCAGCCGTGTGGTGAGGAAAAAAAGTGTCTTTCAGGAAATGGTGAATGACCTCTAAGCATAATGATGTAACTGGGAAAAGGAAAGAATGGGTTACAGAACAAGCAGAAAACAATAGGAATTTTTGCTGCCAAGGCTGGGGTTTCCTGCATCTTTGAGGATTTTCTTTAAACTCGTGTTTTTGAGCTGCTTGAGATATCTGCACAGAACTTTGAAGCTAACAGCTAAGAGAGCTCTGTGTCTGGCTGGGAGTTGTGTTTGAGGCACACTTGTAGCTCCAGCAGGGTGTGCAGGGGTGGGGAGGGATCCTCAGTGGGTGCCCTCCTCCACTGTCCAACCAGATATTATTTCCCAGCAGCAACTGAGGGGTGCCAGCCTATGGACAGAGTGAAGCTGATAATATCAATATCTGATACAACACTGATAGTCAGTTAACTAAGGATAGATAATCCAGGCCACTAATTCTTGTAATAAACTAGGAAAATACCGGTCCAATTTGAATCTGTTTGCTCTAATTTCATGCTGCTGTGGTTCTAGGTGATGGGTCTGATGGTAGGCTGAGGGTCACAGGACCTTTAACGTTACGATCTTACGGCAGAGAAATTCCGTTACCTGTTCCCTTCATATATTTGTATTTCAAGATTGGACATTCTCCATCACAGTCCTGAAGCACATACATCCATGATGAAAGGCATATGTACATGCCATTAATACTGTGTTAACTTTTTGATGTCCTTTTTAGCAAGTAAGAAAAAAAACCCTTGAAAATATTTTCATTCTGCGCACTGATCTATCAAGCTACACACCTTTGAATACTCTCTTTCAGACTAACAATAGGATTTAATATCCTGATTAATTCATTCCAACCTCATCCTTTTTCCAGACCGTGCCAAGTGATGTGAATTACATCTACTGACTTCTGAGTTTAATTTTAAACAGTTCGGAAAACTAGAAGGCTCCGATTTATTTATAATTGTTTCTAGCTTGATTTCATTTACACTTGCTGTGAGTGATTCTGCTCTGTAACTGTCCTTGATGGACTTGGTTAGTACTGTTGTGTAGTAGTCTGTAATAATTATCTACTAATTAGTGAAAAATTGCTCTGAATCATGACCTAAAACATTTTTTGTTTGTTGTTTGCCGTTTCTTGTTTGTGTTTTTGTTTGTTTGTGGGAGTTTTCTGTTTTGTTTTTGTTTATTTTTTTTTCTTTTTTCCTTAGTGGAATCTTGTCTGCAGTTAGATTATGTGGAAGTAGAAAAATTATTTTTATGGCAGAAGAGATTTATTTGCCTAGGCTCTCATATCTAACCTTACTAGATCTCTTTGTCATTAAGCTGTGTTTAAAGTTTGCATCATCCAGTGAGCCATCGAAAAAGGAGTGTTGTTTGTTTGATATCTGAGATGGAGCACTCATGGTTGTGATGATAGACTTGTGATTAACTCAGATTTCAAAAATGTTTCTTTCCAACAAGAAAGAAAAAGGAAAGAAACAAAACAAACATAAAAAGAAAGACTCTTTTAGGTTTGGGACACCTGTTTTGCTTAGGTAAGTTATCCGACCTGTAATGCCAGAGAGAAGGTAACTTAATCAGATAAAATGCTTTGAAAGTAAAGCTTAATTGCAGTGTTTTGTCCCATTCTAAGCTTTGAGATGTCATAAATGAGATGTAGAATTACTGCTTTTTCTGTTACACTTGGTGTTAGTGTGGACTTAGTAGTGCTGGTTAGACAATATGAAAACATGTTAGTTAGCCATTTCCTTATTGAAGACAACAAAATACTTATTTTAAGTTTTCTTGAAATAAGTAGGAGGAAAAAAAAAGATCTGCAGCATGTGAAAAAGTATGATTCAGTGTTTATCAAGTTGTGTTTTATTAATAGCAGCAATTCTGTAAACAGATGCTTTAGTGATTACTTAAAATGAAACAAAATAGTCCTTGTATGGAGTTGGGGAAAAAGGATTTAAGGTCACAAATACTGTAACTGAGTGGGGTTTTTTCTTAAAAAAAAAGAAATTAAAAAATTGAGTGTGCCTGCAAGGAAGTAGTTGGATGTGCATGTGCTGCTTGCTTTTTGGAAGCCTTAAACTGTGCTGAAAGTCATCTCCCAGTACTGCTTTTTTTTAAGCCTCTGGTGTCAGGACTGAAAAGTGCAGGGACATTGTTGTTCCCGAGTTCCACACAGGTCTTGCAAGCCTCATATTAACTTGAACTTCAGTGCCATTCTGGTATTGAAAAGTAGGAATATGGGCAATGTATTTCATGTGAGAGTAAGCTGCCGTATTGGAGTGCCAGACCGCAGATTTTGTGAGCTCAGGAGTGGGGTTGGGGTGGATGTTGATGTTCACTGAATCATATTGGAGAAGGTCACAGAGCTGGGATTTCTTTCCTGAATAAAGGAAGTTTCTGAAGGTAGGAGAGGCTAGGTCTTACACTCCCTATGCACTGTGTTTGCTGTGTAGAATGTCCTGAGGTTTTTTAGTTGTTTTGTTGTTTGTTTGGGTTTTTTTCCCTTCCTAATGTATATGGTAAGTTGCTTAGCATCTGAAAGGCAAAGATCTGTAAGAAGATAGAAGTAGTGCTTTTGAAGAAGATTTTTTAGGCTACAGTAGTGGCCTGTCTTTGGGTTTTTTCACCTGTTTACCTAAGAAGAGATGGATTATAAACTTCTGCCTCCTGCACACGTTTGCTGTTATTTCCATTTCCCTCCTTCCTTACAAGTTTTTAGTCCTTCGACAAATTTCATTCTGGCTTATGACAGGTTTGTAGGCTAAGGGACACTCCTTTTTCAGAAGTTCCATGAAAAAGTTTGCCTGTTTGATTAATGAATGCTCCCAGAATTAGCATGAATTCCTATTAGAGAGCAGTAACTCACATGAGTGTTTGCTGTGAGGGTGTGTGTTCCAAGGATATGAAGCCTCACTGATTCTGTGCTCTGAGACGTTACTTGTTGGGGGGGGGGGGTGGTGGGTGGCAGGTTAGTTTTGTGGTTTGTTGGTTTTGTTTTGGTTTTTTAAACTTAAGAATGGTGGTTTGACCCCAGTTCTAAGTGTATGAATTTTAAATTTTGGGTAACTTATTATTAAGCCCGATTGTTTTAAGACTACTGTGAATAGTTCCACTGTATTTCCAACCATAAATCCAAATACAGTTTTAACATAGTAATACAGTTGAATATTTTAAAAATCAGTAAACTGGTTTATATAAAAAAAACCCCAATATATTAAGAAATACGAAAAGAAATATTCTCTGCATCTAGTTTAATTCTTACATTTTACATAATACAGTCACTTTTGTTACTCAAGTAAATAAAATGGTGCCATGCTTGCAATTCCTCAGTGAAGCATTAGACAGGAAATAACTGAATGTATTGTGAGACAAAGATGTTGCTATTGTTGTCAGGAAAAGGTAGAAGTGAATAATTTAGCGAATGTTAATAGCAGAAACACCATATTACTAAATTCACAGAAGAATATAATGAATTTTTTGTCAAATGCAGCTGCAGAAGTAATGCCTTTTATTTCGAGTTGACATTATGATGTGTCCTGTCAGTATTAACCATTATGTCTCCCATTGGTATTAACCATTATGCTGTCAGGTCAATCCTGCTCATTTCTTCATTAGGTCATGTTTTTGATTGAGATTTTTTATGTATCTTAAAAAAACCTGAGAAAGACTTAGGTATACTACAAGTAGTTTTTTTCCAAGATGTCATGTCATTGCCATGTCACAGAAATAAATTCAGAGTGTGAATGCAACATTATTAAAAAATTAATTTTTGACTCCTCACAACAGGCAGTGAAGAAAGGCTTTGGCTGATGAAGGGGTTAATTTAATAAATAGCTGGTGGTAACGTACTTTAGGAACTTTGGTTGAACACGGTTTTTAGTTGATTTGGTTACAGACTTTGCTGTGCTGGACATAGCTCAGCTTGTACTTCATAGTTGCACGCATTCCTCTCACCCCGCTCCTGTTTTAGGGGAAGTTTTCTGACCTGCAGTTGTGTTGGTGTGGGAGGAATTTGCTCAAATCTTGGTAATCAGCTTAGCCATGGACATGTTGTCAGGATATGCTTCATAGCACTTTCCCTCAGACTTACACAGGGAGATACCTTTAAAATGTGTTGGTTCTCCATGTTACAAGCTAAAAAAGTATTTAGTTGCTTATTACCTACTAATTTAGGTTTGAATGAAATTTTGGGGAAAAATATTTTAATCCTGCTATGCGACTCATTTAGATATTACTGCTATGTTGATATTTGCTAGAGAATCTGAAAATGAAATTGCTTAGATCATTTTAATCAGATAAAACAGAAAATAGAAGTGTGAAAAGATAATTGGATGAAATAATTTGTTCATTTTAAGATCATGTATTTTACCTGTCAGTGTCTCTCTTTAAATGCTCCAGTTGGTGGAAATGGATTATTACATCTCGTTCTCATTTTCAATCTTTGAAGTATAAACACTACTTCTAAAGAAGAGCAAATCAAAACAAATATGCTGGGACTTGTTCTTTGTATTGACTGAATGTTTTTGCTTCATTTGAAGGTCATTCTGTGAGACTGCTGGGTCAGAAAAAGGATAATGGAAAACGTTTGGGGGGAGCACGACTGGATTTGCCAAAGATTAGGAAGAATCCACTGATAGAAATAATTTCCATCAATACAGGGTAAGAATCTTCAGAACTTATAAAACATCCAGTACTGCTGAGAAATTCCATTTGTCTCTTTCTGCAGATTTAGTGTATTACTCCTAAGCTACACAGAAGGAGGCAGGATAACCACTTCTGAATAGTGAAAGATGGTAAATTATGTTCTTTCTGGAAAATGAATCCCTGCTTATTTGGGTATGAGAAGAAAAGGGTATGTAGAGGGTATTTTTCCTGTGTTCTTTTGATTTCTAAGATGGTAGTTTGGGAATATTATTAGTAGCTCATTAAGATCTGTAAATGTCATTAAGATCTGTCTGACTTGATTGTCAGGCCAGATGTACTGATTGCTAAATTAGATAGAGTTACTTCTGTCTTGCCCCTCTAATACGCTTAAAGATAAGAAGATATGCTGTATATATTTACTCTTTTCTTCGTTTGAACAATCTACTCTCTCCTATCAATCAGCCATTTCCCCATAAGACTACAGGCTTTTGTTCCATACTCCTACTTTGAGGAATTCTATTTCAATCTCCCTTACCTTGATGCTTTCCTTTTCTCAACTCTACTTGGTAACGTCCCGTTTTGTCAGTTTACTAAAAAGAAAAGGAACAAAACAGCAAGAACAAAAGAAATCCCACACAAGTCCTCTTCTGATTTTCGTGTCTTCTCCAAGTTTCGTAGAAATTTCCCTGATGGTATGATTTAAAATGCATTGTTCGAGGCATTCCAAGTGGGTGTGAACTTTCTGCTTAGAGAAAATAAAGGGGATGGATCTTAGCTCACTTTGAGTTTAGACTAGCACATTCATAAACACTTTGTAAAAGAGTTTTGCTACTATCTTCTTTCTTACTTCCTTGGTTTTAAGTAATGTGGCCTTCATAATTTGCTGTGAAACATAGTGTGCTATTTAGGTCAGAATACCAGTTCATGGCTTATAGTGTGGTTACTTTTTCTTCCTCTGACTTCTGGTAAAGAAGGGTGACGTTTTGTCATATTGCTGAGTTATAATACCTTTTTAAACTGCATATGAGCTTTTCTGGTGCAGTTACTTTAAGTGATTCAAATTCTTTCCCTTATTGTCTTTCCTGTTGACATCTTGTTTCTGCCCACGAAAATGCTTTTTGTGATTAAAGTGAGCAAAGCATTCTTTTACATTTGGCTGTATCTGAGTTTCAGATGTTATAAATTTTCCTTTTCCACTAATATTTATCACAATCTAGTGTTATAATACCTTCCTAGTTGTAAATGTTGTCAAGGTGGTAAGCTAATTGAGCTGTGGTCTTGTTCATATGTCTTTTGACTCGTAGCAGTGAATTTAAGATGGCAAAATGTATTGCTATTTCTGATACCAGGTTATTGCTACCCTAATTAGAGAGGTTAATACAATAAGGGTACTGTGGGGTATTAGACAGAGGTGGCTGATGATGACTTGATAAGACCAAAGCATTCTGAAACCCTGAAACAAACAAGTCAGGTGTATAAGACACCTAAATTAACTATTATCTCAATCTATGTTATATTGCCTGCTCTCCTGTCTCTCCTGAAATACAAGTTATTGTGTTTTCCTGTCTTTCTCTTCCCCCTTCCTCTTCCCAACCTCTCCACCTGTGTCCTGTATGTGACTTTTTTTGGTTACTATTCTGGGTTTGAAAGTTAAAGCATAGCTTTTAAGGCAGCAGCACTCACGGTTTCTGAAAATACAAAAATGCAGTCAATGAAAAACAAGGCACAGTACATATTACTCACTGTGATTTTACTGTGTTACTTTTATCAGATTTGCATTCCTAGTCTGACCATGGCGACTTTCAGTACCAATACCGTGTTGGAGTTGAGTTGTTTTCTCTGTGTAGAGACTGGAGAAAACTTTGAAGACTAGTTTTTGGTACAGTGCTCTCTATTGAGAGATGAGAGTCCTCTTTACTGAGGTGAGTTTGGATCAGACTAGCAGGTCTTAAATTAGTAAGAAATACTTCGTTAAAAATAGTGATTTCCTCTTTTGAAATGTGTTTATGTTATGCTGTTGAGTGACAGCATCTGGGAGCAGCACGAGCAGGGTTTCTCCGTGAGGGAGGACGAGAAGGGACCTGAGGATGCCACCAGCACAGGCAGGACACCTGGTGGTGTGGGGCCTGAGCAGTGTGGGCAAAGCTGGGGGCTGGTAGTAGGACCCACCAGCAGTGCCAGACGTGGCAAATCACAGAATATGCTGAGTTGGAACGGACCCACAAGGGTCATCAAGTCCAACTCTTAGCCCTGCACAGGACATCCCTGAGAGTCACACCGTGTGCCTGGGGGATGAATTATCACCCAGGGCCTGGCTCTGTCCAGGGGCTCCTGTCAGGATCAAAAGGATATGAGCTGGAGACAGGACTCAGGAGAAAGGTACAGCCTACGCAGGTCTGAGGTCCATCCTGGAGATGAGCGCAGGGCTGGAAGCTGGCATGGTAATGAAGCTCGAGCCAGGACAGGGAACATAGACCTTAGCTTAGCTGGGGCTCCTGGCACAGAGCAGGCTCCTGGATACAGCAGCTGAGGCTGGTCAGGTCAGCACTGTGAGATATGGTGGTGTATTGCTGTTTCCACATGGGGTCTTGATGAACTCCTGTCCTCTTCTGTAATTCTGCAGGGGAAGAAAAAGCTTGTTGGAGCGTGTATATCCCTTATCCCCCAAAGCGCTGGAGACTTTGAGGGCTCACGCTAACCCCTTTCCCTCTCCAGTAGTAGGAATACCTTTATATACAAGGACATCTGCCAGGTGGAACTAGTCTTTTGAGAATTCTTTATTTTCAGTCTCCAAAAATGCTGATTGTTAAGACATGTCTCATTCTCATACAGCTGTGCCTGAGAGCGTGAGTGCAGTTGAAGTGCAACACTGTAGAATAAAATTTGTTACTTAACTCAAGGTGGTGTCAAATTTGGTAATTGATGTGAGACTTCTTGTTATTGACTCCTTCTTCTCTCAGATGTGGAGGAAAAAAAGTCCTGTCTTGAAGGCTTCTATAACTGTGAACTTTTTCCATACTTATCCATGCACAAATGCAGGCCTACATATGCACACATCCCTTCATATTTGTTTTCCCTAGACTTTTGCTGTTCCTGAGCCTTCTCAGAGCTTCCTCAGCTGTTCCTTTGCATCAATCAAGACCGTCCTATTGACAAACATGTTGTGTCTCCACAACAGTATGCACAGTCTGTAATAAAAACAAAGTAAACCAAAATGAAAACCCACTAGCTGTGGAATATCTGTGAAGATTAAGTGCTACTTCTGTCTGTTGTGAGCCAGCTTAGAGTTTTCGCTTGTTTGTCCCTAAAACGATGTTGCTCTTTCCTTGGAGAGACCTGGGTCTTGTTCAGTGTTAGGCTTTTTTTTTTTTTTTTAAAGTAATGGATAGTTTTTTCTACTGTTAATTTTGGTTAACAGAATACAGTCTAGCCAGTCTGAAGAGTGATATAAAATTAATATTTAGCAAAGTAGTATCGGGATCAACGAGGATGCACTAGATTTTTTCCTAATTACAGTAACAAGTTTGTTAAGTCCATAAAAAGAGGCCTTATCCCTGAGCTCTTGTGTTACCTGTGCAGTTTTTTGGCTAATTGAACAGTTTGACCTAGATTTCCACCTTTCTGTGGCATTCAACAAACATCATCTACGGCTGTAGGACCTTTGAAAATGCTTTGTGAGATCTCATCCCCTCTGACTCCTTTGTAGCAGGGATGAGTTTTCTGGAGTCACCATCTTAAAACCATACCACAATATCTTTGATTTCTCAGAAAAAGGATGTTGCGGCTTAAGTTTGACAACTTGTGAAGCCAGTGCTTTTCTCTGCTGGAATTAGTGGGATATTTCAGTAATAATCTCATCAGTTCAGCAGAAGAACTGCGATTTTTTTGGCTTTCTGTGTTTACTCTTGTGAACTCAAATCTGTTCCTTAGTACAATGTTATCTCTAGATAAAAATATAGAGAGTGATGGAAAATTAAAATCTTTCTAGTATGTGAAAAATCACCTGCTCTTTGACAGTGATAGGCTTGGTTTTTTGCCAATTGTTTATATATTTTTGTATATCCGGCTATGACACAATGTTTTCATCATTTCCATCTTGTAAAATACTGCTGTCCCCATTTTGAATGAATGCTCTGAATTATAAATCTTTTCCTACTTGACAAACATCTCTAACTGAATACTTACAAGGTTGAATTCCATATCTCCAATTTATTTAGTTTGTTCATTAATGACGTAGAGATTTTCTGTATTTTAATGTTTTACTTTTCAAGGTCAGTGACACTGTAGTTGAAAGAAGATTTGAATTTTTTAGAATAAAAGATCAAAATGTTTTGATTTACATTCAGTATTTTGCTTGGAGAGGCAAAATAGTATTTTTTCTGATTATTATAATAATATAATTAGTATATAATTACATATTACATTACCACATGTTGTATTTACTTTTACTTTAGTTCAAGATAAATGCTTAGATGAGCTCCTCAGGAAATATGAAGTTATACAATTACTTTGGCCCTACCTTAGCTTATAATATTTAAATGGACACTTTGCATAACTATTTAGCTCAAACATATATGATGTGCTAGAGCCTGTTATTCCAATTACCTTCAGAAAAAAGTGAAGGTAGAAAGTCTAGAAAGATAGTGTATGTGTTTTTGAAAGGAAACCTCTGCTTTGTTTTTTATATATTAATCAGTATTTGCATATACATATATTTAGATTTTAGTTATAGTATAGTTATATAGTTATATATAACTATAGTTATAGTTATAGAGTGTGTATTTCACCCACTCATCTACCACATATCAATCTCTTCTGCTTTGGCACAAATCACAAAATCCTTTACGTAATGAGAATGATAGATGACATAGTTGTGTGTATCTAGGCATTTTAATTTTAATCATAAAATCTGAAAAGCTAGTAGTCCAAAGCTTGAAGAAACCACACTGCTGGAACTGAGGGAAAAGGCAAAACAATTGTTTACAACAGAAAGTTTTAACAGTCTTCTTTTTTGC